CTACAGCCCTCCCCCCTAGTTCCAGTAACTTCCTTCCAAGCTAGGGTAGGTAATGAGCCCTGCTGTTACCAGTCCAGGGGGTTTGCATGATCCCTTAGAGTTCCCTATATCTTTTCCATCCCTGGAAATAGTCCCTTTATTAAACTTTGTATAACTTACTTCATTTGAATATGCCAGCTTTTTCTTTCCCTGATATAAACATGACTGATAAAAGCATTCATTCTCTGTGTCTTTCTTCCTATTGGCCTACATCTTCTCTGTTAAAAAATTTTGGTGTAATTTTTTTTTTAAATTCAGTCCATACTATAGAACAGTTCTAATTTACTCTAGTAGAGTGAATTCAGCCAGAGCATCTCACTCTTCCTGTTTTGGCCAGAACCATGAAGTCCCTAGAAGAGACTGAGAATCTTAAATTCAAGTGTCTCTGCTGGTTTTTGTTTGTTTTTTTTTTTTAATATTTATTCATTCATTTATTTATTTATTTATTTATTTATTTATTTATTTATTTATTTATTTATTTATTTATTTATTTATTTATTTATGCATATAAAAACTGGGGTATAGGCCAGAGATGCAGGGAGGTGAGAGGATTCATCAAAGATGGAGGAGGGGGCAGAACGGGTGGATCTACTTCCCTGGCCGGAGATTGAACTTGGGCTGCAATCGCTTCATAGTGCTGCTCTTTAACACTGTTGCGCCACTGAGAGGGCCCTAGATTTTTGGTGGTAAATTAGATTATAGCATGTTGCTATTCCTGCCAATCTAGAATGAACCTTTGTTGATCACTCTTGACATGCCAGGCTTAGAACTATTTTTGACGCACCAGGCTTAGAACTATTTTCCACATGTTTCTCATTTGATCATCACGATGACCCTGGAGTGGCCATTCGCATACTCTCTGGGGTTCAGATGAGGAAGCTGAGACCCGAAAGTGTGCAGCCTAAGGCAGCACCTGTTTGGCAGGAAGAACTGAGGACTATTCTGCCTGGTACAGAGCTGAGTTCTGCTACATGAATACAGTGTGGTTTCATGGCTGACCCTCAGTATTCCCTGCACACACCAAACGAAGAGAACTGGGTATTTTGCTTATCTAGAATTCAGCGTCATACTTTAGCAGTTTCAGGGGAAGCTGGATGTTCAAGTGGTGAATTAACGTGGGGGCAAGTAGCTGCCTCCTTATGGCAAGAGTGATCATTTTTTGAACACTCAGAACATGCCAGGAATTGTCCAGAGTAATGTATAGTCATTTGCCTAGAGAGGTTTTAGTTGAAGAAGGGAAGGTCAACCTTGTGTCATGTCTTCCTTCATTTTGTCTTCCAAATGCTGACCATGCCAACTTGCCCCAGCTACTTTTCGGGGCCCCCGTTTTTGGAAACCTGTCTCGCTGAGCCACTTCTAGCCCCGTGGTTACCCATGCTGCTTGCACAGCTCTCAATCATCTGGGGAAATTGTTTTTTAGAAATATGAAGTTGAGGACCCCAACCCCCACTCCAGACTGAAAAACAAAAACAAAAACAAAAACAAAAAAACAAACCCAAATCTCTAGCAGGTGACCTGAGCACTGTTATTTTCTAAAAAGCTTCCCCGCTTATTCTGATGGGCAGCCTATGTTGAAAGCAATGCTCCAATTTGCTTAATGATGGAAGAATTGGTGGGAATCTCAGCAGGGCTCCTCTGGTCCAAGGAAAGAGAACCAATTCTTTCTGGCTAGTGATTATTATCCAGAATTATCTGTGGCATATTCCACATGATTTAATAGGCCTTGTTTCTGAGGGCAGCTGAATGCTAATGTCTCTCCAGGGTAGGCTGAGATGTCAAAGTTTCCAGCAGAGCAATTTATAGACAAGGTGGCAAAGTGAGTCCTGGTGTCCATCTACTCTGGCTGTGCTTCATGATATACCTGAACACTGAGAGCATAATTTAGAGCATTTTAAACATGCATGGCTCAAAGAGTGAAAACAAACCCACTCGTCCGCTTTTCGTTTCAAGTCCACGGTGCCTAAGTTCTAGTGCTACCTGGCTCTTGGCAGTGAGGGCCAATGACCAGAAGCTCAGCTGCTCAGCTCTGAGGCTGTGTGCAGATAGGGAGGGATTAAGATGGACTCCTCCTTCCTGCTCTTTCCAAAGGGGGCACAGTGGTGCCGGTCCTCTGCAGGCCTGGGACAGAACCCCCAGACTTTGATCTCCAGTGGCAGCCTCAGCAAAAAGGGAAGTAAAACCCTGAAATGGTAAAGAGAAAATGGGATTGTAGCGGTTCCTCTCCCTATAATTTCAGTTGCACAGTCACACAGGTACCTTTGAAGGGATTAAAGAGAAGGAAGTGTTAGCGGATCATCAAGATACAGGGAAGTAGTTTGTCATCAACAGAGTATTATTTTTCAATACATGTGCTGGATTACATTAATTGAACACAGATGAATACATTGATAGCTACTTTTTTTTAAAAAAAAGAAAATGCAAATTTAAAGGGGTTGTAAGAATCCTGGGATGAAAAAAATGTAGCTCTGATAAATCTAATGGGACAGACAGAAAAAAGAGGGATGCAGAGAGGAGAGGAGAGGAGAGGAGAGGAGAGGAGAGAGGGAGACCAGCACAGAGGGAGGATGATGTTTGCACTCAGATTTGGGGACGGAGGCCAAGGGAGGAAGGCAACACTTTCTTTAACTTCTGTTTGGTTCTTTTCTGTTTTTTTTTTTTTTTAAAGATTTATTTATTTGTACAGAACTGGGGTACAGGCCAGAGATGCGGAGGGTGAGAGAATTCACCAGAGACAGAACGGGAGCAGAACAGGCAGATCGACGAAGTACACTGCTGAGGGGAGCAGCGGGCGGGTCAGGAGAGGTCTGCCACGCCATGTGGTCGCCTCCGGCGCAGGCGGGAATCGAACTCATGCGGAAGTGGCTTTAGCTTCTCAGTGCTGTGCTTTAACCCGCTGCGCCACCAGGGAGGGCCTCTTTTCTGTTTTGTTGTTTTCTCTCAGCTGCCTACTCATTCTTGGCTATTGCACACAAGAACCTATCTATCAGCCCAGGTCCCTTAGATTTAACTGAAAAGCTTGTCTAGGTTCCGAACTCTGCACAACTTTTCACGTGCCATTTCGTTCAATTAGCACAGCAGGTTTGGAGTTTGTAATTCCCATTTTTTTTGCAGGTGGGATAAAGAGAAGTTGAGGACTTTGCCCTCGCCTACCCCGCTGGGAGGTGATGACCTCAAAATCTCAGTATGCCAGCACCTGGCACTTCACCACTCACACCATCCAGCAGGCACTTGGAGTCCCCTGGCAGGGTGCCAGGGATGAGCCCTGGGAGTTTCCATGTGGCCTGGTGCATTCCAGTTTCTGATAAGGGCCGCACAGCTGTGGGCCTGAAGAGCCTCTTTCCTGGGGAAAGAAGACTGGGGAGGCTGCCAGGAGCAGACCCTACCCACTACCTGAGCATTGGGGCTCCAGAGACCTTGCTAGAGGAGCCTGGCTGGGGCTTGCACACTCACATCTTTGCAGCAGGGGTGTTTTTGTCACTCTGAGGGGATTTGCTCTGGTCCCATTTTCCAGAACAGCAAAGCGAGACTTTTCTTCCTCGGTGGTCACAGGGTTGGCAGGTGGTGGAGTCATAGGTGTCTGCAGTGGCCCAGAGATAATAAAATCTGCATGGATCTCGACATAATTATGCAAAGACGCCTGCGAGGCTTGTACACTCTCTTGCCCAGGCCCATCTGTCTCTGCGCGCCGCCCCCGGCTCCGAAGCCAGTGGCGAGCTGAGAGCCAGGTGGGCGGAGACACGTCCCAGCCACTACCCTAGGTTATCTCGCTGAGCCTAGCCAGCCATCACCCCAAGGCCGACCTCTCTGCTTTAAAAAAACCAACAATCTAGCGCTCCCACCCCCCACCCCCCACCCAGCATTCCGCCCCGCCGCCCCCAGGGAGCTGAATTAATATTAATCCCGATGAATAATTGAAGGCCAGAGATTTATTCCGGCCGTGGAAACGGGGGGGGGGGGGCGCAGCTGGGCTGCATTTTGGCCATGCCGCCTGCGTGTTTCGACCACTTGGGTTCCGCTGCACGGGGTGCCGGGTCGTGGGAGGCTGAGGTGGGTGTGCCACCTACGAGGGCTAGCTTGGGGGAGGGTGTGAACTGTAGCAAGTGTGCCAGGGAGTGTGGCAAAGCACCCGGGGCTGCTCAAAGGGACGGAGGGGCATCCCAGGTCTCTCTGCCTTGGCCTCCGCTTAGCCCCGCGCAGGGTGACCTGGGGCCACGCGAGCTTGAACAGAAACAATAGCGACTCCTTAGATACTGGGCTCCTGCCACCGGTGACCCAGGCCTTCCATGGCGATCAACGGGGCCTCTTTTCTTATTTGGCTAATTTATGGCGAGAAGCTGGGGGGAGGGACGGTGTCTGGAGCTGGGGGGCGAGGAGGCGGCAGTTAAAGGAGTCTCTCGAGGCGGCGGCGCGGGTGATGTCAGCTCACAACGAAAATAGAGAGGGATCGCCTGCAAATCCCCAGCTCCGGCGGGGCTAAACCTTGCAATACCTCCCTGGCCGGCTCCGAGCCAGGGCCCTGCAGCCTCCACCGCCTCCCCCAGGACGCGCACAGCAACACACGCTTGCACGCACGCACACACTTCCCTGCACACTCACCGCACACACATTCACGATCGCCCCCGGCCACCACCCTCGCACTGCGCTCCGCCACTCGCCGCGCCTGAGACCCGCAGCAGCAAACACAGGTGGCGGCGGCGGCGCCCGGCCCCTGCGCGCCCACTAGCAGCCCCGGGGGCGGCGCTCTCGGGGAAACCACCTTCCAAGTCCCCCCAAGCGCTCTGCCAAGCACCACCGACGACAGCGGCGGGGAGCACCGGACGCGCGCGGTGGAGAGCAGAGACGCGGATTAGCCTCGGCGGAAGCCTCCAGCTCGGGTTGAGGCACTAAAGGGCTTACCCAGGAGGGGGGTGGAAGGGCGGGGAGAATCTCCCCCTTAAATACCGCGCGGACCACACTCTAGCGCTTACCCCCGCGCCTGCTCACTCACTTGCCCGCTGCTGCCGAATAGAGCCGAAGAGGAGGGGGCGTTCCCCAGACCATGGCATCGACCGAAGGGTGAGGGGGTTTTTCTCTGCACCCATGGGGTAGGGGTTGGTGCGGGGTGGTGGTCCCCTATCCGGAATGGGGATAGAGAGTGGGCTCCAGGCCTCGGAGTCGGCGGCAGAGCAATGGCTTGACTGGCGGGTGGGATGGTGGGGAGGAAATTGATTTTTCCCTGAAGAAGCTAGCTGCTTTTAACCCTTTGAAGATGCAAGAGACGCGATTATTTCACTTTCATTAAAAGGGTACAAAGGAGGTGTGGAAAAGTGTGACCAAAAATCCTCTTGTGGTTACTTTTGCGATTTAAAAACAATAAGGGGTTGGGGACGGTGTGCGTGACAGGTCCTGAGCGCTGCGCGGGCTGGAAGGTGGGGGACCAGTCTGGAATGAATGGAGAAGCCGGGACCTGGGCCGGGGCGGGGCGAGGGGAAGTGCGCGCGGCCTTGAACGTCCAATATGCAAAGTCTCCGAGTACATGCCCCGCCGAATTCAACAGCCCGGTGCTCCGGGGTGGGGAGAATCTTCCCGATAAGCCCTAAGGAAGAAAGGAAGAGATTTGGGTGCTTCCCGGGAAGAGGCGGGAAAGCACGCGGATTTGGGCTGAGACAGGAGTCCCCAGATTCCAGGAGGAGAAGCCTAGCGTCCCCATTCTTCTCAAGGCTTTCAAGTGGTGGTCCCTGGCCTCTCGAGGTTTCAGTGGATGGACAAGCTCTAGGTGGTAAATAAGGACAGCTGTCGTGAGCGAGAGGGAGGTGGAGCTGCTAGAGACAAAAGAATCCCCTGAATACTCACACCTCGAAGGAAGGGTCCAGAATGTGGCCTCTAGAATGAAGGGTCTAGGTGGACCAGTATCGCACAGAAAATGTTTCCTGCTTGATAGAGCTAGACTAGGAAGGTGCTCACAAATTTGGTTCATTCACAAATTTGCAAGAGCCACTTGCAAGTTGTCCCTGGATCTCCCTGTGGGGAAAACAAATCCTCTCAGCACAGAGCACGAATCTTTGATGCTGGCACTTTCTGCACTTTCTCTCCAATAAATTTTACCAAGTCCACAATCTTGCTTGGAGGAGATGCATCTCTAAGTAGAAGTGAAGAGTTGGTTCCAAAGTCAGAAGTCTAGATTCCAACCTCCAACAAAGAGAAAATGGCTAAAATTGTGTCCCCCAACCTCCAACATTGTGTCCAGGAGCAGGGACTTACTTACCCCTTTTCTGTCCCTTGGACTCCTTCAAACAGGTCCCTGGCAATGACCATGACACTGGGGGAGCATGAGAGTTCTTCTCTTTTCATCGTAACAGTTAAGCAGTGTGGAACTTTCCAATTATTATTTCTTTTTCTCTTTTTAAGATTTATTTATTTATAAATACAAGAACCAGGGTAGAGACCAGAGGTGGGGGAGTGGGTGAGAGCCTTCACCAGAGACAGAGTGAGGAACAGAATAGGTGGATCCACTGAAATACACTGCTGAGGGGAGCAGTAGGCGAGACAGGTGAGATCTGCTGCACCATGTGGGTCACTCAATGGCCAGGGATGGAACTTGTGCTGCAGTGGCTCCTGATAGCTTCATGGTGCTGGCTTTAACCCCTCGCACTTCCAGGGAATGTCCCCAATTACTATTTCTCCAAAAGATGCTTCAGCTTGGCACTTATATATGGGGAAGGTGGAACATTGTCTTAAAACAGATCTCTAGAATTAAATATTGAGTCCACCCGATTCAACCTCAGTGTTTCCTGGCTTAATTAATTAGCCGTTCATATTAGAAGAGATATACAAGCATTTCTGGCTGCCTTCAGGGTCCTTCTAGACTTTATGCCTCCTTTAAAGACAAGGCTGGAAAGAGATTTGACAGTGGCCTTTCAAATCCTTCATTCAAGTCACTCTTTGTGTTGATGGAGAGATGGTGATCAGAGAGGTTAAGACACCAGCAAAAATCCCCAAATTAAGTGCGTTTATCTAACTTTGTCCTAGATAAGAGCTGTCAAATGATTTGACATTAAATATAGAGCAGAAGTGATTTTTCAGTTGTTTAAACCACTGGCATTCAATTCATGCTGTATTTGTACAATTCATGTTAAGAAAAGATTGGCCAAGGGAATTTGCATTTAGATGAATGAACTGAAAAAAAAAATGGGAAACAACTATAGAAAGATCTGTGGCCCATTATCATTTTAAAGCAATAATAATGAACAGGTTACCTGCTCTGGTCTACTTTTCCACTCTTTCCTTCCAGAAGTATTGACTAAGTAGTTTGGGGTATATTTCTGGGCTCTCTGGGGGCAGACACAAAGTCACAAATGGTCAGGGAGCTGACTTTTAGAAAACTGACTCTAGTCAGGACTTTGATTAGTAAGTTGTTTTATGGTTTGGGGAGATTCTCTGGCCCCTTTTGAAATCTTGGGTTAAGGTGGCTGAGATAAAGACACCAGGAATCCTCAGGCTGATCTCCTTTATTAGCTTTGCTTTCTAACAATGTGGAGACTGTGTATTTGAACTATACATAGCTGAGGGGAAAAAATGCCAAAATAGCAATGTAATTATATGCTTTCAATGTATGCATTTTCCGTTCAACTCTGTTGATCCAGAATGTTTGGGGGATGGGTAATATGGTAAATGGAACGTTCTGGTTATAACTTGTTTGGTGATGTAGTTACAGACAACAACATATGTGGATTATCAATTTTTAAAGACTGATCAGAAGCAATAGTGACATCTTATGTTTGTTTTGCATTCCACTTTCAGAGCTCATTTGCGTACATCATCACATTTGATAGTTCCATTAACTGTGAAGAACACACTCCAAAATGCAAATGAACCTTAAGAATAAAGTGATACAGAATGCACTGTTATGGTCCAGGAATATTTTAGCATGTGGCAGAACTTTCGGGTTATCATCAGGAAATGTCAGTTATCATTGAGGAGTGGACTGGGCATGTCTGGAGAGGAAACTATTGACTTTCTTTCAAACCTTTGGTCTGCACTCTCTGTAAATTATCTTTTGGAATATTCATATTTCAGTTTGTGCAGTTGGTCTTTGCTGTTGCAAAGCGAACAATGTCTGCTAATTTGAGATTTCTGATGATTTAGAATCGGGGTTATTAAAATCCAAGTCTAATAAAAGTCAACAGCAGACTCTCTGGTGGTTCCCAGGCCCTAAGAGGTATTTTCTTGCAAAACAAGGTCAAATTTGATAGTTGAACATTCTTTTTTCTAAGTCCCCTGACATGGCTAGAATTATAGTTTTAGGTCCCTGACCCAAGTTTGAAAGAGCTTATAAAGTAGTTGGTGGCGGACAGGCCAGTATGTATTATTGACTGGGTTATGCTGTGGAGATGGGCATTTTAGAAATATGTTTGTGGGGGCACAAGAGACTAGGTCACCATGAATGTCGGGGACCCAAGGCAATCTGTCTTCTGATCAACTCCCAGGAGTCAAGGGGTCAGGGCAAAAGCCAACCACAAGGGCTTGTGTTTCAGTTTGACATAGAAAGCAAGTGAAACAGAAAACCACTGGCAGCAAAAATGCCCTGGCAAGGGAGACCTCTGGATTTATTATTTCAAGCAAACAAAACAAAACATAACGATCACCCCCCTCCACCCCTTGGGAATGAGGTTGAGGTCAGTTGGAAGAAGAGCCCATGCAGTGGATTTATTGAGCAGTGAGTGGAGGGCATGGGGTTTGGACTCTAGAGAGGTTTGGGCTTCTCTGAGCTTCTCATTTTCTCATTTTTAAGAACATAAAAATCAACCTGCTTGGGTAAAATGTCTGGAACAACGAGAAAGCAATTTCATGCTTACTAAGAGTGCCTCTTGTGAGTGAGTGGAAGCTTAATTCTTAAGAAACAATTTCTAAACCCAAATAAAGCCTGTGAAATGGAAAAGCCAGCATGTAAAAAAAAAAGAGAGAGAGAGAGAGAAACCCAGACGGTCCTGCCCATCAGTTTCAATGGCCACTTTTCCTCTTTTAGGCAACATGATTAAGTACAGTGTCCTTTGACTCCAGATTTAAGGGAATTGTCAGACAAGGAAAAATCCTTAAGAGACAGGGCTTGGCTGCAGAAACAAGCAATATTTAAAAGCAAAGTTTGAGACTTCTGGGTCAGTGTGTCATAAATCCTACAGATCCTGGATTGCAAAGTTTGTCCACCTTATGAAGCTCAGCACAGGTTGATTCCAGAGAAATGCTCCCCTTCCATCCTCCTCCAGACTGAATCACAGAATGCCCAGATGTCTGGTTCTCTCTCTTTTAAAGGCAAACTGAATTGTTTTCTATACTGAACTCCCTCCCCAAGCAACACCCCTCACCCCCCACAGGAAAAACTGAATGTGGTCTTCATTTCAATCTCCTACTGTAATTATTTAAATCCAATAAAACCTTGATCATTTAAAACTCACCTAGTGGGTAAACGAATCATTCTCAAGATAAAATTGTAGGTTTTTTTTTTTGCATTTTAGGAACTTGTCTTCAAAGCCTAAAAAAATATAACAAATGCCATTCACTGCCTGGCTGGCAGTCATCTCTTCTATGCTCTTAACAGCTTGTTGGGGGCAAGCAGGCTGGCTCATAGAAAGGGCTTTAGAATTCAGATTAAGACAAATCTCTTTATTTATCAAGATCGTGAGCCTGCTCTCTCCTCCTGCTGCCCGCCCCTCACCCAAAGCACCAAGTGCCAAGTCCTTGGAATGAATTAATTAAAGGAGTGTTTAAAAATATCTCATTGCTCCATCTCTACGTGCTCCATCATTGATTGGAGGCAGATGGGCCGCATATTTGTCAGTAGAATAGGACTAGCATCTCGTTATAAATCTGTCTGGTTGGCTTCAAATGGAGGCAGAAAAGACAATGGGCCAGCAGTATAAAAGGAGAGTGGAAAAAAAGGCTAGATGCTTAAACTCTTCAAAAGAAAAATTTGTTTTCTTAGCGTGTTTTATAAAATGCTATTTTCAGTGGTGTAGCTACTTATTTAAGCTTATCTTCCATTCATGGATTTATTTCCTTTCTCACTTAGATGAGCAATC